CTTTATAAACAAAGTTTATAGTATATTAGATAGTAACGCATGCTAAGGAGAAAATAGGTAAGGGGAAGGAGAGGGTACATTATATGTCTGTTGGGGGTGGGGGCACACTGCAGTTTTAAATCAAGGAAGGTCTCATGAAGATGATTTCTGTGCCAAACCTGGAGGAGTAAGAGGATGAGCCCCGTGGGTTCCTAGGGAAGGGCATTCTGGGCAGGGGAACAGATAGTACAAAGCTTCTGAGGACTGAACAAGATGATCCTTGCAAAGTACTTGGTATACTCAGTGAATGGAACCGCCTGTGCTTCGTGAACTTGCGCTCTTCAGACAGCCAAGCTCGTATGATTTAAAGCTCTGCCACAAAGCTATGTCCAAAGCCAATTACTGAGCCATTCTGTATCTTCATTTCCTAATTTTTGATATGAGATTAAAAATAGTAAGATATGAGGATTGAATGAGTTAATATTTGTAGAGCCCGTAGAGCAAAGCCTGGCTCACAGTGAGTGCTCAAGTGATAGCTGCTGTTTTGATCACCATTTTCTCTCTAATGTATTCATGTTGGTCATGATTGTTTATTTGGATGTCTGCCCCCTTTCCCATGAGCTCTTCCTGGTGAGCTCAGTGTCATCTCTGTCCTGAGCGCCCAACCCACAGCCAGCACGTAGGAGGACCTCTGAATGTCAGACTAGGGATATAAAATGTCAATTCTCTAATTGTTGGGAGCATCCCATCAAAGGTGTTCATTGTGTGGTTCAGGTCCTAACTAATGTTATGTTTTCAACCAGTTTATATGGAGAAATATGTTAAGGTTTCTCATTACAGTTGTGGATATGTCAAACTCTTTGTTATCTTGTTTTTTGCTGTATATATTTTGAGGCTATAGTATTAGGAGCACCTGTTATTATTATTATTATTATTATTTTGCAATTAAACTTTTATTGAGGACTATTCAGTGGCAAGAATACCTTGTGTATTATACAGTGTTTTAGACATTCAATAAAGAATTCGTCAAGATTGATTTCACAGTGCATTCATCAAAACAGCCTTAAATATTGTTAAAAGCGCGTTCTAACTTAGATCGCCAGCCGTCTATTTTTCTCTCATTTTACTATCAAGAAATTAAGTTACATAGCTTTTTTTAAAAATCAAGACTATCTGTTTCTATTCTGAGGCCACATTTTGACATGATACTTATTTACTTAAAGTTTCTACCTTAGGAGCACTTATGTTTAGAACTTTAAGTGGTAATAACCCTCTACTTGTCTCTTGGTTCATATTTGCTTGGTCAGTCTTTTTCCATCTTTTTACTTTCAGTCCTTCTGTGTTGTTATGTTTTCTAATAAGTGGGTGTTCGTGGAGCATTTTCTGAAAGCTGATCTAATGTAGGGCTGTGTCCTGGGCCCAGTGTGTAAGGAGTTAGAAAATTCTGCCCCACTGACCCCTCCAAATAGGACATAGACAGACCTGGGTGTGAAACAGAGTTTTCACTGCCAAGGCCCCATGAAGTAGGGACATGGAGTGGAGCTGCAAGGAAGGAGGCTTTGATCCATCTGGTCCCATGCTGGGCAGTGCTGCTGGGGACACCGTGATGACCATGATAGCTCTGGCCCTTCTTCCCCTCCCCCAGCAGGTTTACAGTCCAGTGGAGGAGACTGATCCATCTTTAGGCAGTGATGACCCAGAGTGGGCAGGGCTGGGACAAGGGAACACAAAGGTCCCCCTCTGGGCAGGTGCGTAGTTTCCAGGACGAGGGCTCAGGGAAGGGCCTCTCTGCTAAAGTTAAATTTGAGCAAAGACTGGAATGAAATAAGAAATTGAGCTGTGTGGAGATTTGGGGGGAAAGCAATCTACTTAGCAGGAACAGCAAATGCAATACCATAGAAGGTGACTGAGGAACAGACAGCAAGGCCAGGTTGGGAGTCCAGAGGTGGAGCCTGACCCAGCCTAGGGGGTTAGCTTCTTGGAGGAGGGGGTGGTTGAGCTGAGACCCCAGCAAATATATAGTGAAACGATAGAGCACAGTAATCTGGAATCAGATTCCCTGGGTTCACACCAGCTCTGTGTGTCCTTGGTCTGGCTAGTCAACCTGTCCCACCTCAGTTTCTTCATATAGTGTAGATGATAATAGCTCCTACTGATCATCAGAAAAGGTTTGGGTTTTCCAACTATGCTCTATGCCAGATTGGGTGCCCACCTGGGTCCACTGGGGGTGTGGAGTGGAGGAGTAGGGAGGGATGAGGCTGGATTGGTGAGGTACGTGGGCATTTTCCCAGGGGCACTGGGGAGTCTTGGCATGTTTTGAACTGGGACCAGACAGGGTTAGGTTTGTGCTTTAAGAAGACCCTTCTAGCTGTGATGTGTGGAATGGTTGGAAGCAGGTAAGGCTAGAGCGATGTGGTGGGGGAATAAGTGATGCCTGGACAGGCACCTTTGGATGTGTGTCTCTTCAGCTCGACATTGAAAGGATCTATACCATTGCTGTTCAATAGAAATATAATGCGAGCAGCATGTGTAATTTAAAATCTAGTAGCCACATTAAAAAGGTCAAAAGAGATGAAGTTAATTCGAAGTATTTTATTTAACTAAATTACATAAATATTATTTTAAAAGGTAATCAGTATTTAAAAGTCATTCTTGAGGTGTTTAATATTCTTTTCTATTACTAAGTTTGAGTCATATTTGGGGTGCCTAGTTGGAAATGCTGGACGGAGAGGGTTTTTTGGCCGCGTGGCCTGAGCCTTGAATGCCAAGCCCAGGGGCTTAGACTCAGTGCCGCGGTGGCCGTCCTAGACTTGTACTATTTGGTTTTCAAGGTGAGGTCATCCCGCCGTCCCAAATCTTGGCCTCCGGGGTTCCCAACCAGAGCTGGGCACTCTCAGATCTTTTTGCTTGCTTCCTTCCGCCCTCGAGTCGCAATCCCAGAGCTGCTTGGCCCTTTAAATCTCAACTGTCAATCAGGGCTCCTGTTTAGAGGGAACGTCTTGTAATAAACCTCCCCTTGAATGCGGCGGCCTCTGTCCTGGCCTTGTTCCTCCGTTTAGCAGGAAGTTGGGAATTGTTCCACGTTCTCTTAGGTGCCGCTGTTTCCACACCTCCTTCGTCACCTCTTGCCGACTCCTCCCTCTTTCGAAGTTGGTCCCCTTGGCCAAGGCCTTCCTTATATGGGCACGGCCCCGAACGGCAGCAGCTCATTGGCTGGGGACGTCACGCGCGATTCTGTCAACAAAGGGGCGGAGGGAAACTAGTGCTCCCTGCTGCGCTACAGCCTGAGGGAAGGAGTGAGTGGGCGGGCCCTCTTTCTTCGTGTGCGCATGCGTATGGGCCACCACTGTCTCCCGCCGCAGGGGGCGGGGCTCGCGGGTGAGGGCGCCTTGGGGGCGTGTATAGCTTTTGAGAGTCGTCTCCGGGGGTTGGCCAATTCCGGGGGGCGGTTTCAAAATTGGGGGATTCCCTTTGTATTGAGGCGAAATTTTTGGCTTTGGGCAAGTGTCTGTGTGGGTTTGGGGGGTACTTGGGGTTCCCTTGAGCTTAGGGGGCACCTTCGGGTTTGGGTTTCTTTTGTAATGTGGTGGGTTCGGTGTGTTGTAGGGTTCTCCTTTGTGGTTTGGGATATTTGGTGGATATTTGATTTGGCGAGCTCACAGAGAGACTTACTTACTTGTAAGTAAACAATACAGGAGTTCCAATCCTGGAGCAAGAATGCCTGGGCTCTTGCCTGTCCCTACTTCTTCCTGCCTGTCTGACTTCAGACTTGGGATTTATCCTTTCTGTGCCTCATCTGGACACAGAGACTAATACATTATCTGCTTCATAGGGACCGGGAGGATTAGCAGGCATTATTAGAATAGTAATTAGCTCGTAGCGAGCCTGCAATAAGCACATGTCTGCTATTAAAACACTTGTAGGGTTTCTTTGGGAGTATTTGGGGGGCTCTTTGGACTGAGAAGTATATGGTTTGTAATTAGTTTTATATATTAGGGAGTTTTTATGTTTTAGAGAGTTCTTTTGCTATTTGGGGGGCCTCTGTGTAATTAGGGAATACGTGTGAAGGTTTAAAAAGAGTTTGACATGAGTGTAGGATTTCAGAAAACTGGTCTTTTGGGGCATCTATGAGTTTGGGAAATTGCTGTGTATGTTGGAGTTCTTGGTAGGCCTGGGATTTGTGAGGGGTTCCTTGGGATTGGGGACTTCTTTGCTGGAGGGGATATTTATAGGTCTGGAAGTTTAAAGTAGTGTTTGGAAGGGTATGGATATTTTCGGGGGCATTGACATTCTGGAGATAACTGTAGGAACTGATAGGAGGATTTCAGGGAGTGGTTAAGTTGGAGAGGGATAGCACAGAAAATGGCCTTTGTTGTGTTAGTGTCCCTTCCTGGGCATTTAGATGGTGGTTAGTAAACTTAGGCATCTATAGGTTTTAGGGGCTGTATGATATTTTTTTTTTGGTTTTAAGTAAGGAACTGGAATTTCAGCATGGGCTGTAGTATTTTAGTGGTAGATGGTATTAGGGGTAATGGGGGTAAGGATTTTTAGGATTGGGACTCTTTGTGACTGGGGTCTGTGGGTGTTTGGAGGCTGTCGAATTTGAATGGTGTCTACAGGACCATGAAATGATGGGGTTTTAGTGGTGTTTGTGTGATTGCCTGTATTCAAGGGTTGGCAAACCTTTTCCAGAAAGGGCCATATAATGAATGCTGTAGGCTTTGCGAGGCCTTATGTTCTATGTTACAACTACTCAACTCTGCCATTGTAGCATGAAAGCAGCCATAAACAAATAAGCATGTTTCAATAAAGCTTTATTTGTGCCCTAGCTGGTATGGTTCAGTGGCTGGAGTGTCAGCTGCACAGTGAAGGGTTATGTGTTTGATTCCCAGTCAGGGGTGGGTTTCCCCCCTCCCCAGCCCTGGGCAGGTTTGAAAGGCAACCAATCTATGTGTCTCTCTCACATCAATGTTTCTCTCTTCCCCCCTCCTCGCTCCTTCCCTTCCACTCTTTCTAGAGATCAATGGGAAAAATATCCTCTAGTGAGGATTAACAAAAAAATAAAAATAAAAAACTTTATTTGCAAAGACAGGCTGTAGGCCATACTTGGCCCAAGGGCCATAGTTTGCTGACCTCTGATCTATAGACGTGGAAGTTTTGAGGTTTGGGGGTATTTTGGTTTTGCGATGTCTAGAGGTAGATGGGCCAGGGAACTGTTGCGACTGGGAGATATGTTGCCTGTTGGTCCTGTAGTGGAAAGTGGTCATGTCCGAGTTGTGAGAAGAATTGCCTCCAGATTAGGTCATGCACACAAAATGGTTGCAAAATAAAATGGTCATTATTAAGAAAGCCTGAGTTGAAAAGTGCAGAAAGCAAGTTTGAGGGCCTGGTCTTGTGCTGTGTAACCCTTCCCCATTCTGAGCCTCAGGTTACCGATGTGTAACTTGGAGAGGAGGCTAGACTAGAGCAGGCCTTCTCATCCCAGGGGTCTGTGGATGTGCATAAGGGAATCACCTGCACAGTGTTGTGCAAGTGTATGTGTTTTTCTAGGGGAGGATACACAACTTTAAGAAATCCTTAAAAAGCCCCAAAAGCTGAACAAAGTGAGGAGTCAGTTTCTTGAGGGCCTGTCTGGCTTTGGCCTCAGATGTTCTTCCCCCACGCAGCCCATCTTGTTCCTTCTGTGGGCTCAAGTAGATAGCTGTGGGCAGGTGCTGGGAATTCTTATCTTTTCAGGAACTGGCAACTGGATGAGCAGATAGGAAAAGGAGGTATTTTCACTGAAGTTTAAAGGTTATGACAGCAGCAGGGGCCTCTGGACTGTCAATGAAGGCAGTGGGCAGTGGAGTATGATCTGTAGGGTTGAGCAGGCTGTCAGATCTGCTCACGCTCATGGTGTTAAAAGAGCAGGTCCCATCCCCTCTGCAACCCTCTATTTGCTCACCTGTGCAGAGTTCTTCGTGGTCTAATTTGGTCTGTTACTCTAGGAGAGGTTGAGGTCATGGTGGTACTGGGAGGGCAGGTTCCTCCAGCTTCCCACCTTCCTCTTTTCTGTCTCCAGGTGGCCTGTGGAGGCCCCTACCACCATCCAGGCCCTGAGATGCAGTGATCCCCTGCCTGTCTGCCACCATTTCCCAGAATGGACCGTGGCGGCCTCCTGCCCTTCCAACTATGGTGCCCCCGGCCCTTTGGCACCTACTCACAGAACCAGCCTCGCCCACCTTCCACAACCCTCAAGCCATCAGCCTGTCCTGAACCAGGCGGCAGGGTTGAGCCAGACCATGGGCCTGCCCACTCAGAGAACACACCACCCACCTTGGCCCCCGAGGCCCCCTCCTCCCAGCCTGCCCCTCTCCTCTCAGCAGCAGCTGCTGGCGATGAAGGTCGAGTCCTGCTGGACACATGGTATGTTATCAAGCCCGGGAATACAAAGGAGAAGGTGGCCTTCTTTGTGGCCCACCAGTGTGGTGGTGGGAGCCGGGCCAGCTCCATGAAGGTCAAGGGGCACTGGGGCAGTGACAGCTCCAAGGCCAAGCGGAGGAGGCGCTGTCTTGAGCCTACTAAAGCTCCACCGGACCCAGGGGGCCGGGAGGGACCCCCTGCTGCTCATGGGACCCCAGCCTCAGCTGGTGAGGATGTGGACCTGCTCTCTGTGGCTGAGATGGTGGCCCTAGTGGAACAGCGGGCCGCCCTGGCCCTGCAGAACTATCCCCATCCTGGCAGCCCAGCGCCTATGGTCTTTGTGTCAGCAGAACAGGGTGGGCCTGCCAAGGGGCTGGGGTCTGAACGGCGGCCTGGTGGCGGGGACTGCAGCCGTGTGGCTGAGGCGGTGGCTCACTTCGAAGCCCAACGGGACAACCCTCCGGCCAAGGGCCTCCGCAAGGAGGAGAGGCCTGGGCCAGGCCCCGGGGAGGTACGCATCGCCTTCCGTATCTCCAATGGCCGAGAGCCTCGTGCACCAGATGGCAGCTTGCCCAACGGGAGTGGGGGCCGGCCGGGCTGTGCCTACCCAGGCAGCCCAGGACCTGGGGCCCGAGCCAAGGACAAGATCACCTGTGACCTGTACCAGCTCATCAGCCCCTCTCGGGATGCTCTCCCGAGCAACGTGGAGTTCCTTCTGGCCAGGGCAGACGAAGCCAGCGAGGGGGAGACCCCAGCCCCTGCCAGGCCCGAGGATACTCCCCCAGCTCCCCCTCCCCCCCCTGCCCGGGACTGCGGAGCATCCGGCTTCCACGTGGATGTGGTGGTGACTGGCGTGGTGGACGAGTGCATCTTCTTTGGCAAGGACGGTACCAAGAATGTGAAGGAGGAGACAGTGTGCCTAACAGTCAGTCCTGAGGAGCCACCCCCTCCTGGCCAGCTCTTCTTCCTCCAGTCCCGGGGGCCAGATGGGCCTCCTGAGCCACCCCCAGCCGACTCACCTGCCATTGCATCAGGCCCGGACGATGCTGAGGGCACGGCAGACACCTCCCTGTGCCGCCTGTACCGGCATGTGTCACACGACTTCCTGGAAATCCGCTTCAAGATCCAGAGGCTGCTAGAGCCTCGACAGTACATGCTGCTGCTTCCCGAGCATGTGCTGGTCAAGATCTTCAGCTTCCTGCCCACCCGGGCCCTGGCGGCCCTCAAGTGCACCTGCCACCACTTCAAGGGCATCATCGAGGCATTCGGCGTGCGGGCCACAGACTCGCGCTGGAGCCGTGACCCACTCTACCGCGATGACCCTTGTAAGCAGTGCCGCAAGAGATACGAGAAGGGTGATGTGTCGCTCTGCCGCTGGCACCCTAAGCCCTACCACCACGACCTGCCTTATGGACGTTCCTACTGGATGTGCTGCCGCCGAGCCGATCGAGAGACGCCTGGCTGCCGCCTGGGTCTGCACGATAACAACTGGGTGCTGCCCTGCAATGGGCCTGGTGGGGGTGGGGGCCGGGCTGGCCGGGAAGAGGGAAGGTGAAGCCGGGGAAGGGGGGGGAGAGCCCACCATGCCCACCCCCTCTCCATGGGAGCTGAGAGCCAGGACTGGGTCACCAGCCCCTACACCCAGTCCAGGCAGCATTCAGCCCCCTCCAGACTGAGCCGGGGTTCAGAGGGATGACCTAAGAAAGCACTCACTCTGATTGACTGACCCCAATTGGTTTTCTATTCTTCAGACCCAGGGCCAGGGACCCTCGTGGAGGGTGTTTTTTATTAGCATCTCAAGTTTCTTCTCCATTCAGCCCTAGCACCCTTCCTGCCACTCTACACCCCAGGAACCCACCAGCAGGGAGCAGACGGCAGCTAATTTTGGTACTACTTAAGGGTTCCCCCATCCTGGCCCCCTTCCGCTCCCTCCCCCAGTTCTGTCTCTGGAGCTGTATTCATTCTCTCACTGGGGAGCCATTGGATCACAGATCACATTGGGCATGTGTCGTGGCAGCCTGCCATTTCTAGGTGTTTTCCCCATTAAAACAATAAAAATCACTGTTTTCTCTTTAACCTCAAGCTACCAGTCTCTCCACTTCTCCCAGAGGGGAAGAGAAGAAAAAGAAAAGTTGAACTATAAAAATTTCCCTCCTCCCATTATTTAAGCTATTGTCTTCACCACCACTCAAAACAAAACCCCAAATAGCTATGAAACCCTTTGCCTTGCTCTTGGCAGCATGGGGGGCCGGTGGGCAGGGGCTGTGGGTGTGAAGTTCTGGGTTGTATTTCCTTCTGCTCCGGGGACTTGTTCAGGCACTGGAGTCTCTCCACCCTGGCTGCATGTTTCTTTAGAAGAAGCCTCTGGTTTACTGAGACCTTGATTCTCTGGGCAATTTGGTCTGGGGTGTTTTTGTTTGTTCTGTTTAGGTTTGTTTTTTTCATCCCTGTGGTTCTGGAAGCCTCTAGCGTGTGGCATCTGACCAATTTTGAATTGGTCCTTTCTATAAAATCCATATTTATAAGGCTGTGCCCAGACTGGTTTGTATGTTGTTTAGGGAGGGGATTTGCGAAAGAAGGGAGCTGTGCATGGGGAGATGGAAAAGCTGAGAAAAGGATCCCTGGCCAAGCCCCTTAGTATGAAATTATTTTTGACTCTTCATCTGTGTCAGTTTGGACTCAGAATCTCAAAATAGTAGTAGCTTAAACAAGATAGTTTTTATTTCTTTAGAAATCCAATGTTGAGCAGGTATGGTGGCCCAGTCTCAAGCTGGCCGTGGCTTGGGTTTGCATCAGTGATGTGTCCCAAGGTACTTCTAGCCAAGATGTCTGGGAGAAACAAACAAATCCTCTGGGCAAAGGAACTGTCTCCTAGAGTCCCTACAAACAGTTGTCAGACAATGAATGGTGTACAGTCAAATAACCAAATACACATGGAAATAAACAAGCATGAGCAAGGACCAGCAGAAACAGAACAAAAACAAGCTTCAGATGGTGAGACTGTGGGTCACAGATTAGAATACAGGAGCTTGCAGATATCTGCAGGGAACTTGGAACTAAATAGTGGCCTAGCAGATAGGAAAGGGAAAAAGCCCACAAACATATAATAACTAAAAGTAAAAACTCAATGGTGAAACAGCAAATTAGACACAATTGAAGATTTATTAACTAGGGATGAGTCTGAAAAAGCAGAGACCAAAAAAGAAGAAAATATGGAAGGTCATAGAGGATAGAGTGAACAAGTCTAATATTTAATTGGCATTCTAGAATCAGAAGAGAGAATTGGGCAAAGATATTTAAAGATGATGGTTCCTTTACTCCAGGCTGGTAAAAGACCAATAAGCCCAATGAGTCATGAACAGGACAAATAAAAAGACATGTTCCCCTAGACAAACTGCATTGAACGTGTCCAGCTATGTGATCTTCAGCAGTGGATTTCTCTGAAGCTGTTTTTTAATCTGAAAGGTGAGAATACTGATGGTTCCTCAAAAGACTAATGTGATACATCACAGCTAGAGTGCTCAACAATTGTGCTTACTAAATACACCTAGTGGCCCCTTCATAGCTTGAGGCTGGGAGACCCTAAGTTTGGGGGACAAATGGAGCTGGGGAAAGCACCGCCACGCCAAGTGGCAGCAGCAGCCTCATTTGTAAAATGGAGCCCACAACCCTTGCCCCAGATTTATGCAAAAACTGCATTAGGCCCCTTGCTCAGGGCCTGGAGTGTGGTACTGTTAACCAAGATGTCTTGTAGGGCGAAAGGGCTGGGGATGTAACCGAACACTCTGCCTCCCCTCTCTAACATGGAGACGATGTCTCATCTGCTTCTGGGTAGCTATAAGGCTAAGGGGACATGGTGCACTTTTAAGTGCTTGGCACCATGCCTGCCACATAAGTGAACAGGAATCTCCCTGTGGTTTGAGACCCTCTGGTTGATGTTTGTCAGTTTCCCTTTCTGAACACTGGACTTCTATTCCACCTCTTAACAGGTCACTGGTCTGTTCTCCCCAATCCCAACCTGACTTAACTTGCACCCAATTAAAAGCCTCAGGAGGAGCTACTTTTTCTTAACAATCTGTTGGTCCCGCACAGGTGACTTTTGGAAGGGACTGGGGTTAGGAGCACAGCCGTGTGTGAGAATCTAGGCTCTGTAAACAACTGGTTCATAAATCTCAGACCTGACCCCCTTACCTATAAAATGAGAACCAAACTTGTACCTACCTCAGGATCTGGGGGAGGCTGAGTTGGTGTAAAGTGCTCATGGGGCCTGGCCTGTAGTAGGTGCCCAATAAATGCCAGCTACTGTGGCAGAATGTGAACTGAGAACCTCTTTATCCTGTCATTAGATATCCTGAGTTACAGCCCGTGAATTCCTAGTTTCCAGCCTTGAGTCGGCTCAGAAGGCCAATGCTCACCTTTACTACTTAACATCCATCCATCCTGGCCGGACATCCCTGCTACCTACCAGGTCTCCATCAAAGTCACAAAGCCAGGCCCTGGCCTGTGTGGCTCAGTTGGATGTCATCCCATGCACCAAAAGGTTGCTGGTCCCTCCAGGTCAGGGCACCCAGTAGGGGGTGAGCAGGAGGCAGCCAATCAATGTTACCTTCTCACATCGATGTTTCTCTCCCTCTCCTTTCCTCTCTAAAAAAAATAAATAAATCAATAAACTATAAAAAATAAAGTCACAAAGCCAGCAGGCACAGAGCCCAGCATAGGACTTCCATTCTAGGCACCCTCCATATTATGGTTTTCTTTGGAGTAGGTTTGCTAAGCATCTGGGAAAACACCAAACTCTATCCTTAAGGACAGAGCATCCCAAACTTTGCTAATCTTGAGATTTCCTCCAGTGCTTGTTAGGTTCCCATCGCCTCCTTGGAGTTCCAGTTCAATAGTCTGGGTGGAACCCGGGAGTCTGCATTTTTAATAAGTACCCCAGTTGAGTCTGAAAGTTAGGTAGGGTTGGAAAATACTTCCTCAGGCCATCACTGGAGCTGTAGTTACACCCCCCATCTTGCACTCCTGTACTCATGACTAAAATGGACAGGACGGTTTGGTATAACTAGTTTGCAGTGACTCCTGTCCTGTCATTCCTTCCATAAACATACCAGTGTTTCCCAAATATCTTCTGAGGTACCTAGTTCTGTGAGGTGCTTCCCAATAAAGGGGTTCCATGGTGAAATACCTGGGAAAACAATGCATTGTCTTACCCTTGAAAATTCACACTGCAACTAAGAAACTCATTTAATGTCTCACCCCGCCTCTTTGGTCCCTTTATTCATGCAACACCTATTATGGTGGTTCTGCTAGTATTGCCCATTGGATCTGCAGGACCTGGATTTCCCAAGTATTGGCATCCCACTCTTCGGTTCCTGCTTACGAGCACATCCTCTGTGGGCCCCACATGGCACATCCATGTAGGAGCTAGGCTTGGACCAGTGCAGTAGCAAGGCTGCCCACTCTGAAGAAGTAACTGCCACAAAAACAAAAGCCACAGAGAATTCATTGGGTTGGGTGGTGGTGCTGGTCCATATGCCAGTCCATGGTGTGCTGGCCGAAACAGAATAGCATCTGGCCCTTGCAAACCTTCAGCCCGATACCTCCCTCAGAGCAGGGCCCAACCTCTTATTCCTTCGGCTCTCACCCCACGACAGTCTTTTTCATGTCTGTGAAGAGTGGCAGCTTGTGGTCATAGGAAAGAGTCTTCCAGCCACAGCACAAGCAGAGCCAAAGGTATTAAGAATGAGCCAGCACACCCGAGGTGGGCCCAGCCTGAACCCATCCCCTGCTGGGCGCTTCTCCTTCAGCGTCAGCCTGGCAGGCTAGAGCCCCAGGTATTCAGCCAGGAACACGGCAAGGATACGGCTCAGGTTGTGCACTGTGGGTGGGTGCAGGTTGGCCTCAGAGTCATCAGGCGTGTGCCAGACAGATGGGAAGGGCGTGGAGATGAGGTGGAGCACCGGGACCCCTGTGGACCAGAGAGAAGTCAGTCAGGCCCAGGCCTCCCCACCCCCACCCCAGAAGATACTCTGTTCTAGAGCTTAAAGAGCTCTGAACAATCGCTAGGTGTCTGAGGGTACATGTTAGTTTAAATTCATATACCCAGTATATCTATTGTTTTCATAACACAAATTAAGAGAAGCTCAAAACTTAATGGGTTATGGAAAGACCAGAAGGGACAGATGTCTGACCATCCGCCAGGTGTACTTTATCTGGCTCTTCTCGTCTTTACTAATCGTTAGCCCTTATATAGTACTTGTTCTATTCCAGACCGTAGTCTAAGGTCATACATCACACATACACACCATTTTATCCTATAATAACCCTTTAAGGTGGTGCTGTCACTACCGACATTTTACAGAAGTGGACACTGAGACATAGAGGCAGGCAGAGTTAATGGCCTAAGGTCCCGCCTCTAGTAAACAGCACAGAATTTGAATCCAGGCCACATGTCTCCAGAGTCTGTGCTCTTAACCACTGTTCTGCATTGGGTTCCTGTCCTCAAAGCGCTTCTCTCTGCGTTTGTCCAATTTGCTAAACATTGGTCCCCCACTAGGCAGGAGGCAGGTGGACCCTAGCACATCACTGTATCCCTGACCCCTGCTCAGTATCTGCCTTGGGAAGTATTCGTTGAACAAATCAATAAAGAAGGCGTTGTAAGGAATGCGTATTTGTTGAAAGAGTAAATTATAGAGTAAGAAATATAAAAGCAGTTGTTAGGACTTACTATATGCCAAGCACTGGGTAAGCAAGCATTTCATATACCTAATCTCATTCTCCCAACCCTGTGATTATGAATCTACACAGACATGCTTTTCATGTATAAATCTCTTCATTCCCCCAGAAGAAACGGGGGTTCAGAGAGGCTATTAATTTGCCTTTGGTCAACCAGTGGTTAAGTTTCAGATCCTGGAACCCAGATCAATTCTGAAACCTATTTTCTGAACCCCTTGACCAGATGTTCTCAGCCCTGGTTGTGCATCTGAATCATCTGGGAGTTCTGTAAAAATAGCACAGAGGCCCAAGGAGGTTGCTCGGTGGGCTTGAAATGTGACTGGGCATTTTTCGAAGCTCCTCTGGTGATTCTGCTGGGCCACCAGGGCCTTGAAAGGAAAGAGCTAGAAGAAACTACAATCGCTGAGGAACAAACAGTAACAGCTCACATTTCTTGAATGCTTGTTACGTGCCAGGCACTGGTCCAAGAAAGGTCTTTACACTTTGTATTAACACATTCAACACCCTCAACAAGATAGGAACTGAGACGTGGGCTATTATCCCCATTTTACAGATGAGGAAATCAAGGCACAAAGAGGTTAACTTACCACCAGCCCCCTATCCTGAGAAGGGGTCAGAGCCAGGGCCCACCTGTGGCTCCCTTGGACCTCCACCCCCCACTCCTCCCTGTGGCAGGTACCTCTGCGGAGGAAGGGGATATGGTCATCTTCCACAGAGCCTGGGGGCTCTCCAGGCTGGAAGTACATCACTTCCTGGGGATGAGACTGTAGCAGGTTCAAACGGTGCAGGCGCTTCTCTGGAGGTAGTGGGGGTTAGAGAGCAAAGGTCAGCCCCTCAGGGGTCAAAGGTTCCCCTGCTCACAAATCAGAGGGCAAGAAGTCTGAAGGTAAAGCACTGGTCATCCCACAGGAAGAAGAATGTTACCCCTTCCTGCAGGTGCACCATGTTCTCCTATTACCACTACCACCATGCCCACTTTACAGATAGGAAACTGACGCTCAGGGATAAAGCCACTTGCCCAAGTTCACACAGCTGGTAAGGAGAGTCAAGATTCGAACCCAGGGCTATATGACTTGACGCCCCGTTTGTAATCACAACCGCTGTGGGATCTGTTTGTGTCTTGCCCTTTGTGTTAGTGCCTTAGAGAGAGGCTAGGGAGGTAGAGGGAAGGCTGGATGACCCCTCAGAGAACAGGTGCTTGCCCACTCCAGCCCTCCCACCTCCATCCCAGGCTGAAGCCTGCTTCCACTGTCACCCTTACCGATGCTCCTCAGCCGATGGAACCAGCGGACTGTGCGAGGGAAGTGACTGTAGAAAGTCGGATGGGGGGCTCCCAAAAGATCAAGAAGCATAAAGAGCTCCTAGGGAGAGAGACCAGGACTGGAGAGGCCAGGTGGAATGCTGCCAACCTTGCCATACCCCTCCCTCCCTCACCGGAACCCAGTGGGGCCCTGGTCTTACAATAGCCTGGATCCTGGTGGGGCCGGGACTGTGGGGTGCAGACTCCATGAGCTGGGCCAGGTGCCGGGAGCCATAGAGGGAGTCCTTGGGTCCCCATTCCTTCAGCGCCTCTTCACCATCCAAGAACAGCAGCTGCAGGGTCACTGAGGCTGCCTGTGGGAGCTGGTGCTCAGTGTCAGCCCTGACCTCAACCCGCCTCCATTTCCTCCCTGCTTGCAGAGCTAAATGGGACAAACTAGGTCTCCTCATTCACAGAGCATAGACTCTGAGCCAGGCTGCCTGAGTTCAAATCCTGGCTCGGCTGCTTCCTGGCTAAGCAGTATAGGGTAAGTTACTAAATTCTCAGCTTTCTCATGTAGAAATGGGGTTAATAACAGTTCTATTCATAGGGTAGGATTCGAATCCAGGTCCTAGAATAGTGACTGGCATACAGTAACTAAAGGGTTAGCTCTGATTATCATTATTCCTGTAGCCCACTTAGCAAAGGAGACAGACCCATGAATGAATAATTATACAAACAGTGAAATGCAGCTGGGACAAATGCTTCCAACAACTATAGGGCCCTGAAAGAGCACAGGAAGGGGGTGGGGGATAACTTGGCCTGGGGAGCATGTTGAGTCTGTTGGGAAGGTATGTTTGCACCAAGGGTAAGTGGGAGCTGGCCTGGGAAAATGGAGGGGAGGGAAGAGTGTTCCGAGGCAAGGAAGCATATGAACCAAGGCTGGGGCCAGAGAGGTTTAAGAAGAGGCCTGAGGGGTCAGCAAGGCCCAGGGAGCTTGGGCTTTGGGACACTGGTGTTTAAGCCATGGGAGGGGGTCTAAGAAGGGGAAAAGCATGAGGAAACTTGTGTTTTCATTCATTCCACTCATTTTAATTGACATCCTCCTTCATTCCAGGCAATATTCTGGGCCCAGGGAATAGAGCAGAAACAAAAGCAGCCAAGTCCCTGCCTAGATGGAGGTTATTCTAGTTGTGAAGACAGACAAATCAACATAAGGACCACAAATCACGGAATAATAACACAGTGGTTGGGAAGGCTCGTTGAGGAGGTAACATTGGAGTAGATACCTGAAAGAAGGATGGGAGCCAGCTAGGAAGGTATATGAGAAAAGCACATTCTAGGCAGAGCAAACAGCAAGTACAAATGCCCTGGGGTGGCAGTGAATCTTGTGGATTTGAGGTACAGAGGCAGTGGGTAGCTAGAGTGGAGTGAGCGAGGGGTGAGAGGTGGCAGATGAGACTAGAGAGGTAACAGGGCACACTTCATGGGCCACTATAAGAATTCTGGCTTGTGTATGGAATGAGGTAGGAGCCAAGGAAGGGTTTGGGGCAGGGGGGGAACAGGATCTAACATTCAGGAGGTGGAAAGATCTCTGTGTCTTTGTAGGTATAGTGGAGACAGGAAGACAAGACCAGGCAAGGGAGGATGGTGGCTTCAACCAAGGGAGATGAAGCCCCTGCCCTCCACCCCTACCCTACCCCCACTCCTCACCTGATCTTTGGCTCTACTCAGTTCCTGGTCCAGGGCCTGGGCCAGCTCCAGTAGCAGGGCACAAGGCACAGCTGAATCTGTAGCCCCCACAAATGGGGCCGACTCAGATGGGAAGAGCTTTGAGTCATAATGGCAGGCAAGGGTGAGGTGACGGGCAGCCCCTGGGTCCAGCGTGGCCACCACATTGGCAAAGTCCAGTGACCCCAAAGGCGTTGAGGCTGTGAAGGGGTCCAGCTCCACATGCCAGCCTGCCGTCAGGGTCCGCATGGTGGCCTCCAGGAACTAGTGGCAAGACAGAGG